ACACACACACACATACATACATACACACACACACACACAAAGACAACCTCTCGTCAATGTGCGTTTTCTGCATTGCATAGATGCAAAAAAAACAGATAAAAAGTCATATAAGTACACCAGTTAGAGAAACTTGCCCTTGTCCTGATCTAGGTTGTCGCCTTTGATATCAGCGATGGCTTTTAGCGCACGAAGAAGCGCAACACCGCCACCGGGAACGATACCCTCCTCGATTGCAGCTCTGGTAGCGTTCAGTGCATCCGTAACACGGTCCTTCTTTTCGTTTACTTCTACTTCGCTAGCACCGCCAACTTTCAGAACTGCTACACCTTTCGAGAGCTTTGCAAGTCGTTCGTTCAGCTTCTCCTGTTAAATCAAAATTTTCGAACAAAATTTACAAACAATCATATTTTACAATCAAATTCCTGAGCAAAACTTACAAATTTAGCAGAATACTACCAAAATCTACCTTTTCATAATCGGATGTGCTTTGCTCCAATTCATCTTCGATCAGTGCAACCCGTTTTTCGATTTCTGCTGGCTTTCCCTGCAAAGAAAAAGTGGCATCTCCTGATTCTTACATCACTCCAACTCTAATGATGAAAATAATCCGAAATCGAACAAGCTTACAAAAATAAAGATCAAACCTACCTTCCCACGAAGAATTAGCGTATCGTCCTTGGTGATGGTAACCTCTTCCGCTTCACCGAGATCATCAATTTGTACATCCTCAATTTTCACCAGATTTGCATCGTCCCCAAAAATAGTGCCACCTGTAGCGATAGCCATGTCTTTCAATGTATTCTTTCTGTTGTCACCGAATCCTGGCGCCTTCACAGCTGCTACTTGTAAACCAACCTAAAAAATAGCAGTCCTGATGTAAATACAGGCTGAAACATACTAGGAGAGCCGGTACGATCATGCATTTCTGTAATATTTCGTCATTTTTGCAATATTTCGTGTTGTAGCAAGATCGCAAGGGATCACAATAGCTAGAATTTGTGACGTACTGGCCCTCAAAGTTCAGAAAGTTAACTGTGCCGCTATTTGGTACGTCAGTTGCAGATGTTGGCTTTAATGACCCGACAAATGGAAACCTGCTGGTGCGCGAAAAAGACTCCATCAGAAGAGTTGAATATGAAATCTTTTAGTCGCACATGAGTAAAGAACATTCCCTTAAAATTCCAGCCTTTCAGCTTTTCTCGTTGCCTAACTAGCAATTTTTCTGCTACTTCTCATGCCCACACATGAGACGCGGATAGTTCTAAGGACCTGAGGGACCTCAGATGAACTGAATTTGAAAT